TTGCATTTAGTATGAAGATACTAGCAAGTCCCACTATAAATTTTCTAATAAATTTTTAAATAATTACTGTACAGAATATGACTGACTTCGTGATCAATGAAAAGAAATTCTTCATATCTTTGAAACACTCAATATGTGCTTCACTACAACATCTTGTGCAAGCCAACTTATTAGCATGTGTTGTTTGGCTGATCTTCACTCACAAAAAAGAGTTTCTAACTATTACCCTTCATGAATGCAACCTGTGTTCACTAAGAAGCTTGAAGCTAAGCTTACTTACAAACACTTTGATTGAAGCTATAGTATAGCATTCCGGTAAAATATATTGCTTAATGTGACACACCAATACTTCTGAGACTTTTGAATGCATTTCCATCACCATTTTATTGTTGAGAAAATTTTATTTTTTGAAAGTATATACAGTACATGTCTAGTACCAGTGTTTAATATCTCTAACAGCACTGTAACTTTTTATCTTTTTCCGACACTTCATTTATAAAACTTTCACTGTTCAGTGTTACAAAAGTGGAAATTTATGCAAGTTTTAATATACTGTTCTGTACTTTCTTCTGTATGTTATGATCCATAACTTTCACATATTCGTGAATAACTATCGTCTTCATTCAAAATTCATAAACTACAGGCAATTCTGAAATAGGACATATAAAAATTATCAGCACATTCACAGCATACTAGTCTTATTTTCTAAGTCACCTAAATCTCTACAAATGCAAAAACATATGTTTACATCACATTCAATTACTTGAGGTAGGGGGCATCCATTGAACCATGTATCACAAGATATATGTGAAAATGGGGAAATAAGAAGTCTTTTCTTCCATCATTAGGACATAAATTCATAATAAATTTAAGAATAGACTTGTGTTTAATAATGGGTATCAGAAGAATTTTTTAATACCTGTACTGTACAAGGAAACACCTATACTGTACTACCCACTATATGTGCATGTTCATGTAGGCAAAGGCTAAATAGTTATAAATTTAGTTACTGTTTATGACCTTCTCAATTAGGCATGAAAAATTTCCTATCAATGTTTTCCTTTTTCACACATTTTCTAACTTATGTTACTGTTGGTTAAATTTTGTGCAAATTAAGTTCTATTTCAAATACAGTATATCAGATCAATAACTTCTTCAATTCCAGTGTTTAGACAGACCTACAATAATTAATTTTTGTTTGAGAGACTTTACATCAGTAGTGTAGACTTTATCGATGTAATTTACCAAATCACAGTTGGCTTAAAAAGATTCGTTATGGATACTCCCAACCCTGACAAGCATGAGACTAGTGGTTTTGGGCCCCACAAGGCCACTAATACTTTATCCTTCGGCAGACTCCAGATATCAGAGGGTTTGGTGATAAGAATCTAAAGGCCTTTATCACCAGTCTATGGAGAGAAGGGTTAAAGGGCTTTAAAGAAGAGGCTCAGGTGAAGGAATCAAAACTCTGGACACCACGAGATCAGTGAGAGTACTCTACAGCCAACACAGCATTCTTGTCAGCACTTAACTGTATTTTGATTTAACAGAATATATGCAAATTTCACAGGCATAAAAAATGTTACACATAATATATATAGAAAGTAGACATAATGTGCATGACTTTATCAGAAATCAGGATATTGTATGACTATCCCTCATATTTGTCACGGACTACCATCAACAACCTGACAAGACGGAGAGGCAAAATAATAAATAGGATTCTGTCTTATTAATAAACAGGAAACATCTATTAATAAAGATACTGATTATTTTAACTTAATGGTCCTTGCAGTCATTGCCAGTTCTTACAACACGACCAAACACTCGCATCATAAATGTTACCATACCAAGTCTCTTGTCTTGTTTATATTCATGAAAATTACCCATATTGAAATTCACTACAGATCCCTAATTATTCTGTATCAAAACTGAACTTTCTAAATGCCACATAATCCCAATTAAATTATGGCATGAATAAATTTTGACGATATCATTACATTCTTTGCTAGCCAAAAATATCCATTCATTTGATGAAAGGAGTAAGTTGCATTGTCATTACACATCAATAGTCAAACACTTAGACATTTTGATACATTATACTCCATCTGTTGCCTCCATCCCCTCAATACACACTGCAGACACATCATGTTATCAGATGTAAATTCTATGAGAATGTTTCCTTTGGTTATTCCAGTGTTTAACCCCTAGGCTTTGGGTCACGTTATATGATGTGCATCTATAGAGCTTCGAGTCATGTCATATGACATTTTGATCTTTCGTGGGCCTAATTGAATAAAAAGGGCGAGTCTGGCTAGATTATGTTGCCAAGTGGGTATTTATCTTTCACTCACTCACACAAAAGAGCCTTCCAGTCTCTGCTCAGCTTTTATTATGTAGGAATCTCACCTTTGGACTTGACTCACTTCACCATGTGTCTCTACCCCCAACCCCTTAGCACAAGTCTAGTGTTGTGATTAATTACTGGAGCAATAATAATGACTTTTAATAGTGTAAATAGTAATAACATAGTAAAACAAGTGTCCTGTACTCATACTGCCTTCAAATAGTGTTGTTTACCTCGTACTATTGCGTCACACTCCTGACTCTTCCTGTGGTAAGGGCATGTATTTATTCTATATTTATATCATGGCCATTTTGTAAAACTAGAATTGTAATTAATTTTTTTTTAAATGTTCCCAAAATATACTCGTGTGTGTGTGTGTGTGTGTGTGTGTGGGGGGAGGGGTGATACCGACTATAGCCTGAAGCCAAGGGGTCAAGATAAGACTAAAACTTTTGCTAATGTTGATAAAGTGGATTAGTCATTCATTAACTGTTATACACTGCATTTTCCATATTTCATGAACCTTTCTTGTCCATTCACTACAAAAGCACATGAATGTTAAATACGTATGGTTTTGAAATTCATTAATTATGTTAACTATATTCCAGACTGTTATCGGTCTGGGGTTCAACCCTGACATGGCAAAGTTTAATTATTATTTGTTTTTTTGTATACCCGGTATATACACAAGTTAAGCAGGTCACTCACCACTTGGGCACCTGATTAACAAACTCTAACCACATTATAAGCCAGCCACCACAACCTACTGTATCTAAAATGGTGTAAAAGATAGTCATAATTTACTGATTTTACCCATTCAATCAAATTATATATATATATATGTATATGTATATATATATATATATATATATATATATATATATATATATATATATATATATATATATATATATATATATATATATATATATATATATATATATATATATATATATATATATATATATATATATATATATATATATATATATATATATATATATATATATATATATATATATATATATATATATATATATATATATATATATATATATATATATATATATATATATATATGAATTTCAAAAAGCACATATATCCTTATTTTATTTATGCAAACAATGCTAGTTAGCAGAAATTTCTGTTAGTCTGCTGGATCATAAAATTCTGCAAATGCAAAAGCTTCCAGTATCTGTGGCTGTATAAAAACATTGCTAGTGATTATCTATATCTTCTGTATATATTTGATCATAAGAATTTTCATATCAGTCAAAATTTCTCAACATGTACTCTGTTCCCCACACATAAAAGTCAAATCTACAGCTTTATATCTTTTTTATGGGAATTTATAAAATTTCAGAAAACATCAAACAGTTGCTTTCATTATATATATACTGTGTGTATATATATATATATATATATATATATATATATATATATATATATATATATATATATATATATATATATATATATATATATATATATATATATATATATATATATTATATAGTGTTTGTGCTTAATAAGGCCATACTTAAACCTGTTTCAAAATACTCCACTCACTAATATCTTGTCATGCAATCATACAAAAATACACCATCACAACAACCATACAGAATGAAAAAGCATACTTTACCTACACATGATAACTTCACTGAGAGGCAATGTATGATACATATTAATCAGTACAGTACTTCTTCAAATAACACACAGTAACTAGGAAGCGAGATACAGGCCAGAATCCATATTTCCAGATGTCTTAAGCAGAATATTGTGGTCACTGAAACCCTGATGCAAGACTTACCTTTTTCTGAAATATTTCACAAAGTATTGAGGAACATACTCTTATAATCACGACCTTTATGTTGCCATCATGCACCACAAGAAAAAATGCCTAACATACTAAAACAATTACATATTCAACAATAATTTTCTTAAGGTAGTTTTTTCCCCTTCCATGAGTGAATGGTATCTGATGATTCCAAGAACAAATGGGAAATGTTCATTCAATGTAAAAGTCTGAGGAGTTGCACTTTTAAAGCAAGTTTTAGTCAATTACAATTTTTATCATATTCTGTATTCAAGAAGTAATATTAGCTCACATCATAACAATTAGGAAGTAACAGCAACTAAAATATCTGGCACACTCAATGATCATCAACACAGGATATAATTTTTTTTAACTATATAGTCTACAGGTTGACAATCCCTTATCCGAAATCCTTGGGACCAGAGGAATTTCGGATTTCGGAATTTTTCGGTTTTCAGAATGGTTAGTTTTTTTTTTTTTTTATGTGTATTAGCCCACCCGGGCATAGATCACTGACCTACATCAGGGCCGGGAATATAATAAAAATTATAATACAATAATAATAATAATTAATTCATAGGTCTAGGTCATGTTTCTCACTTTTGATCTTTTTTTCATTCTTGTATTTCTTTATTATTATTATTAGTTTATTATTACAGTACTCCTGTATTATTGTTATTTTTATTAATTTTATTATTATATATTATTATTATTATTAATGTTATCATATTATTTTATTTTGGTGTATTTTTATTAAAACTTTTGTTTACTATGTATAATTATTATTATTATATTTATTATTATATTACATTTTCGCCCGGTGGGCTAATCCCTGTTAAAAAAAAAAAAAAAGCCCCACAAAAAAAACTTTCGGTTTTCAGAGCTTTTCGGTTTTCGGAATTTCGGATAAAGGGCTGTCAACCTGGTATTTATTTAACTGACAGAATTATTTATTTCCAAGTTAAAAGTGCTGAGCATGCCATATTTCAGGTACCACATAGGCCTACACATAAAAGTCCGTAACATCTATTTTTTTTCACTTCAAAATTTTACAGCAGACAACACAATATTTCAGACATGAGATCAGGGGTTGTTGACTAAAATCTATTTGCTTATCCTTTGAACTGTCCAAAGCCCTCTGGGAAATTTTATTTAAGTTTCAGGTTAACCTAACTTGAGTCACATTTTGATCAGAGTTTCTTTAAAATTATCTTCATCCTTCTGATCATAATCATGTCTTTACAACAAACCGAAACTGTTCACATACCAAACCTAATAATGTGTTCATACAATAGTTTCAGTTTGTAATACAGACGGGTTTAAACCTAATGTACTTGTGTTTGCCAATTACAATGTTCTTTAAGGAATGAAAACAGTTGTAAGAATTGGATCACTATGTGAGATTGTTCAGTGGCTTTTATTGCTTGTGGTGTCAAACTTTACATTGTGATGTTACAACTGCTGATGCTTGTTGTCGTTTGTGTCCTGGAGTTGAAAAAAGGCTAACTTTAAGATTCATGAGGGGTACTGAGTCACAAGTTTGAGTCTTGTAGACTGAAAAGAGAGATAGGGAAGGATTTGATCTGTGTCTGCCACTGGGAGGACAACTGGAAGAACTTCACATTTGTCCACTCAGCCGAGTCTACGCTCACTGTGGATGAATAAGAAAGAAACTTATTAAATTTACAAAAAATATCAATATATGAGGAGCTCCAGACCATAACCTGCTAAGAGCCATATATCGCTGAAATGTGTTATGTATTGCATTGTACCACTCCTCTGTCCCTTGGGTAAATCAGAGAGCCAATTGGAAACATGTACATGTAGGTGAGAGTCCTCTGAAAAGACTATTGTATGTCACACCTTCCTACCTGAGCATTTTCTTCCAATTTCTATTTTGGCACTTAGCAGATTATGGTCTGGAGCTCCTCGTACTGTATATAGTATTAGCCATACTACAGTACCAACTAATACTGTATAGGGAATATAGTTAACCAATTTTTCTTAGATATAATACCAATACCAGTACAGTTTATTAAAACAAACACAACTTAAAGCTTGGTTAATTTACAAATGAAACAATAATCATGAATTAACCTTAGCTACATGCTCCTCATAAAATACAACATATCTTTATTTATTCAATCCCTCTTAGCCAGAACTCTCCAATAGCAGTACAGGGTAATTGAAATTTATTTGGAAAATTTCATTCAATTCCAGTTTGGGGAACAATTTTCTGAGGTTAAAAATCAGGCATATTTTCTGTAAAATTTCAAGAAAACTCCAGAAATTCTCTCCTAATCCGCTCGGTTAGAACAGATACTGTGAATAAAGATTTTAACAGTTTTTCGCTAGCCATAAATATTTTTGCTTGTGCACAGGGTCTAAATGAAACGGGAGGGTGTTTGTCCATGTGTGATGAGATATACAGTTTAAGAGTCGAGATGAGATATGTAGTTTAGACTCTTGGAAAACTTTCCGCAGCACCCAGAAACATTCTGGGGATGCGAGTTAGTGTCTGTCTATTCAAGATGCATAGTCTAGACACTCAGAAACTTTTCCCAGTAACCGGAAAAATTCTGGGATAAGGGATTTTTTGTGGTTTGAGAAAGTCATCTGGTTATCCAGAAATCTCTCATTCCTGGAAGTACTCTGCACCAATTGCTCCAGCTATGGGGATATCACTATAACATTTTTCAATAAACAATTGCAATGAATTTTACGACAGAGTACTGTAGCATGTGACTGAGCAATGGGCAAATTATAGAAAATAAATTTCTTCACTCTTATGAGTCAATTCTTGTTAAGAAACAGGGTGGCTGGGATTAGAAACAAAACATATTTGTATAAAACCATAATGAACTTAATTTTCTTTTAACTGCATTAAGCATTAACATTATTTGGGTTGTAAAATTATTTAATACTAAGGCTACATTATAATTTTCATTAAAATTAGTATATAAATGAGTACTGTAATAGCAATTCAAATTTAACTGGGAAACGTGCCAGGGAGGTGGGTGTTCATGGCAATCATGAATGACCCAGTGGCTATAAATGAACCATTAATACAAATCTGCAATTGTCAACCTCTCCCTTTAAGTACAATCACTGATGGCAAAATTCTTCTCTTTACCATCCATCTAATCCCTTAACAAATTTTTATACTTTTCCTGCTACTTCAACAATGAATGAATAGTTAAGAACACTTGTCAGACTCACAATTTATTACACCCTACTTGTGATTATCCTTATGTCTGTGACTATTTTAGTGCTTCCGTAATCTGCAGTAGTCTTAATGAAAAACTTATCCCACCAAGTGTCTTGCTGACTTAAGGAGTACCTTAAAGCCCAGATAATGCATCACTACAAAGGAAATAATTGCTCCTGATTCACATAGCTTACCTTTAAAAGGCTGATTCTTGGCACTACCCAATAACCTGCTAACACCATCCACAACTTCTCGTCGACTTTCTGTTTCACGTTCCTTTTCCTTCTTTTTGCCAAGCCGCATAACTGAAAATAGACAGAGGTATTAAAGTCATGCTAGTGAGTTTTGCCTAATTTCTAAATTACACAATACCTAATGCGAGGGGAACCTTCCAGAGGCAACGTATTGCTACAAAAATTAATGTGTGGTTAATGGACGAGAAATTTAGCCAAAAGTATCCTGAATCTGAAAGTATATTGCTTAAAACTATAAAGGATCTGGAAAACCTTCATATCCTTATGACAACAATATCATGTGAAATTTTTATTCATCTAGTAACTCTCCATTTAGTAGTGAGCCTAATATGACTTATGCCTCCCAGGCCAAGCACCAATCATCATAGTGGGATTGGAACCACATGACCATGCTCGGCCATTCACTACATTGCACCATCATCTAAGGCTGCACTCAGCCATATTAGATGCCAGAGGACCTAGGGGGTTGTGTACCTTCACACACCCTGTTTTTTTCAGATATTTGTTTATGGTGACAGGATACGTTTGGAAGGCTGCCTGTTATATACACAAACATTAATTGATCTCACTGATAAATCAGCTCCCAGCATTTTGCCCCAAAATCATGAATTTTTCATATATCTAATGAATAAATTGACCTATATTATTTTCCAATACTCTCAATAATAAAAGCACATACTTTATTCATAGCTATAAAAAAATTATATGTGGTGGTCTGGTGATGATAAGAAGCAGCATTCATATTACATCTTGTAAAACTTATATTGTTCCCTATAGTTAGTACAGTATTTCATTTCTCAGAAGGACCAATTCTTTTTAAGGAAGAAAAAATCACTAGTATTCAACATATGAAAACTGACTAAGGCCAAAAAAAATGACAGAATTATCAAGCATTACAACAATAACAGCAATGGCCATTTAAAAAAAGCAGTCACTAAATCTAGAATCTATGTTTGGCATACACAATCAATAAGGTCATGGTCTGAAAAGATGAAGGTCTCAAGTTTCATTTTCAATCTCAATTGAGTCTAGTTGCTTAAGAGAGGTAGAAACCGATTGTATAACCGAGATGCTTGTGGGACCCAAAGTATGTATAAGCTTGAGGGGTCTGGGCCCAGAGTATTAATCACTTTATTATGGGGAAGCCACTTTTATTATTTTATTTGGCTAACACCAGACAATTTTATTCAGCTCAGAGGGGAACCCATACAAAGAGGTTAAGGATGCATGAGGAATAAACTTTAAGTGAAGACATGTAAATAAATTAAGTTTCATTAATGTGGCATTAGCTAATTGAAGTGAAGTTTAACACCTACCTTACACATAATTAATATACCATACAGTGTTCTTTTAGTAATATAATTAAGTACATTAAATTATAAGTACAAGTTTCTCAATCCTAATTCAACCTACTAACATGGGCTGTCATTTCTCTACTGTCTTCAAAATACAGGTATAACGACTTTTTATATTTCACAAGTGACAGCTGGATTAATATTACAGTATGAAAAGACTTACTTCTTTGTTTTTTCTCCTTGGTTGCAAAGGAGAGCGTTAAGTGGTGACATGTGGTGGGATCAAATGGATGGGCCACACCAAGTGGTGCCAACCGAGCCACTTGCAAAGTACGGAAGCTCGTCTTAAGGGTGTATTTTCCACCTTCAACTCGAGTCTTATCTTTTTCTCTGTCCTTCTCCTTCTCCTCTCGACTTGATCCACGTACTAACCAATAATCAACCTGGAGGTCAAGAGGTTCCTGCCCAATGCCCTCAGATATCATCTTGTAGCTGAAGGAAAATACATAGTCATAAAAGAATTAGTAAAAAATAATGTGAAATTATTGGAAAGGCAATAAACCCCCTTGTTTATATCTAACAAGAAAAATGCCTTGATAAATCTATTTAAGAACATTCTGTATTTTCTTATTTTCTAAAAAATTTAACTGTATTATCTTAGAACAGTAATTACTCATCAATATAGCAGTAACATTAGAGTTAATGCAATCTAATTTAAGAAAAACAATAAACAGATAGCACCGAGTCCACTACACACAGCACTGACAGCCTTATGCATGACACTGACTGCCCTACAAATAGCAATGAGTGCCCTTCTCACAGAACCCCATCAGCAAGATTAATACCCCTTAACTGGATTGAAGTGATTTATAATTATTATTTTTTCACTGAAATAGAAATTTCTCCTAATTGTCACTCACATGTTAATATTTCAATCCACAAAATTTTCTTAAGCATTACAAATTACTAAGCTGTAAGTGTACAGTATACTGTAGTAGAATTATGAAATAACTTAACCTTGTCTACTTACTTGGTCAAGTGTGAACTATTGATATTAGGTGATGATGGTGGAGTTGTGTTGTCACGTGTTTTATCTATTATATTTAGCCCTGTTGTGGGTGTTGATGCAGCTGGAGGAGAGCCAGGAAGTATAACAGCAGATGGAGCTGTTGTTGGGTCATCCAGGTCAACTGAAGATGAGGTGACATCACCACTGCCCAACCGTACGTCCATAATGAATGGCACAAAGGCTTGAGATGATTCATCATCTCCACTGAAATTAAAGCCAACTTTTCAGTATTTCAGAGATTACAGCACTTAACAAAAAACATTAAGTCTGAGATAAACACTATAATTTATAATATTAGAGCTAGGCTGGCTACCTGGCAACAAGGTATGGGAACTTTACAATCATTTTACTTAATCAATTGTCCTAAAACACATCCTATTGTTTCTGTACAACTAATCATCTATTCAGACAGTTTATGCCCAACTTTGTATATTCCTAACACACAACTGTTTTTCATTCAAGTTTTCCACCCTTTCTCTTAAGAGGTTTCCTAGTACCAGGACGGTATTACTAAAATTGTCTATACAGTACAGTACTGTATGCAGTATTTGATTTACAGAATCATGACCTTCCATAGAAACCCCTAAATAATTCTCTTACTGACCATTTTACTATCAGTTTTAGTACAGGTAATATCATTGTTATCTGGATATTTCATGAGCAGTCAATGCTTATAATACGGATGTTTTTACATACTGTAGTACACAGTATTTGTTTTTATTATAAAGACCTAACTTTAACAAATAGGAAATTTTACAATTTGGTTACCTCTTCTCCTTGTAGGTAAGCATGGCTTCAGCAATAGGTAGATGTAATGTTTGCTGTGCCTGTGTGAGGTAGCGATGGACGCGGTTAACAACTTCTTGTACATCAGGCTTTTCCCAGCGCTCTACAACCTCTCGCCATGATTCACTGACAAAAGCTGCACCATATACAGAGTCTATGGAGCCTAAGTACTTTGCTAAACTATTTACACCTGTGGAAAAAAAAACCACATTATGAGGGACAACATTTTCCATAAACTTAAATTATCAAAGTTATACACATGTCAAATACAATCATGGGACATAAATGGTGATGTATGTCAGTGAATATTATATACTGTACACATTATTCAGAAACCTAAAAATATGAATTAGAAAATTATTTGTTTGCAACACTTTTGAAAACTGCATTCCCAATTAGATTATCCTAAAATGATGAGAGTAATAATGAAATACAATACAAAATAAACAGTGATGTGGCATTCATTGATATCACAGCATATATGATAAATTTTCAAGTTTTCTAAATTGATGATGTCACATGCTGCTGTAAGGAATGCTGAAAATAAATTGATGGTAAACAGCAGTATTGAGACTGAAGGAAGATCCAGTGATATTAACCACTTCACTATGGGGATGCCACTTTTAATATATTATTTGGCTAACATCAGGTGATTTTATTCAGCTCAGAGGGGAATACACAAGGGGTTAATGGTTAGCGAGTAGAAAAATAAAAAAATTACCACCAGGGTTCAGATTCCATTTAGTATATTAGATATTTGACTTCCTTAGAATCTTAAAATGGCTATGGTTGATGGAGTACTTACCAAGAGGAATGATGAGAAATCTAACATGGTTCTGGAAGTCTGGTGGTTTGGAAGAGAACTGATCTACATAGGGCCGTAAGACACAACTGATGTATAGATCAGACCCAACAACTACCACCTTCATAGGGCCTGGGGCCTTTAAATTACTGTTGCAGCTGTGGAGATTAAATTAACATTAACATTTGATAATTTACTTACAAACTAAAGACTTCATATCTTTATAATTAGGAGATTTCATCGTACAGGGGGGTCCCCCAAGTTTGCAAATTTTTATTTTGCGGTCCTCAATTATTCGCACACATACTGTATATACAATACAGGTAAAAGAAATAATTGTCCTAAGGGCAAATGCATAAAGGGAATATATATTTCTTTGTACACCAGTAAAAATGTAACCCCCCCTCCCCCCTGGTCTGCAAATGTTATTCGTGGATTTGGCGATTCGTGGTCATTTTGAGAACCTAACCCCTGCGAATTTGGGGGGCCCCCTGTATTTAATTTTATGATATTGTTTGATTCAAGAGTGAGAAGTAATGTATTCAATAAAACAGTTATAGCCTCAAAATACTAACAGTATGAAATTTTAAAACAAATTCAAATACAAAGTGGCTCAAATCACGGTAAAATGGTATTGTCATGCTCTAAGATCCAGGATGCTGTTTTAAATGATTATCCAGATAGGGATGATGAGGTGAAGTGTGGGGAGTGGGATGTGCTTGAAGACAGTTGATTGCAGTGCCAACCACAGTGCCTCCTTGTGTAGTGAAAGCTTAGTACTGTATGTACTGTATAAAGTGTACTGTACAGTACTGTACTTTATTCTTAAAGCTCCTAACAGGTCATCAGGTGTATGGGACCCACTTTTACTTTTACAGTACAGTGCTGACAAACAATTATGTGGTTCATTCAGCACTTGCAGACACTAAACACTTAGAATGAACAAGTAACTTGGAATATACTGTATCTACATTTAATCATTAGATGGTAAACGATATAAAATTGAAGTAAAGATAGAGAAAAATTTAATAAAAGATAAAGAAGTAATATAAAGTAATCGTTATAAAATTCTTTAAACTTATGCAAGACTGCCAAGAAGTCCAATGCAAGCAAATAATATACGTATTAAAAAATTTACTTACAATTTCTGTAATTTATTTACGAGATGGGAGACAGTGGCCTTAACATCGGCTAAGGCCATTGTTGTGATAACTCTGTGTCCATGTTCAGTGAGGTGTGCTGCCAGTAGTGCACCGTGGGACTCTCCAGTGTTTACAAGCACCACATGGTCGGGAAGTTGTACGTCTTCAACTGGTAATACTCGTGCCAACTGTTCCAACAACACCTTTCTCGGCTGAGAGATCACAGAAAGGCTTATGAGTCTTACAGCAGGTTTTACTGTAGGTGGTCATTTACAGTACAGTATATTACATATATTGCATGATGTAGTGACCGACTGAGGATTGTATAGTAACTATTTTAACCCCTTGACTACTGGATGTCACTTCTACTACATGTATCACTCTTTCTATGAAGGGGTTAATTTCCTGAAAAACCCATTGCAGGTAAAAATATCATAAATCAGGATCATTATAGGATATGTTCCCAGCCAGTCCAACACCCAAATGCATCACTAAAACAAGATAAAAAATCCTACACTATACTATAACTCCATCACAATTAAACAACACTCACCACATCATTAAGAACAAGCCTGGTTGTCATTACATGTTCCCTTCGAGGATAAGGGGACTCTTGAAAGTGGAGTGGAGATGTTACTCTGAATCACACACAGCCTCTGGGGGGTGTCTTCACAATGTCAAGTTTCACCTCCAAAAACACAGTTTTTCTAGGTGCCTTGAAATTCTGAGACATTTTCTAAGTCACAAAAACAGTGAAAGCGCTTTTCTCAAAAACAGAGTGAAAGATGATAATGTTATTGCAGCCGACACTGCTCACATCATATTCACAACAACAGAGGTAAGGCAATATACAGTCACAAAAAGCACAACAAAAATCATTTCACAGTCACCAAACCAGAGTACAATGTGAACGTTAATGATGTCCTCTCACTGTAAGGTAAAAAAACAAACACGAATGACAAGTAACAACACCGATAATGACCGATAATTGTTGAGCCTACACGATCATGGCTATGTGAGATCACCATGGAACAAGCTTGGTACTATAGTGCACCGGGTGGCCGCGTGGCAAAGCTCGGGCAGACTGCAGCTGACAAGTAAACCGAGAGATGTGTCCACATTGGCTGGACGATGATCATAGTTAAAGCGAAATAGTATAGTAGATAGGGAGATCATAGATCGAGGGATACCTGTATGTTATTTGGCTAATACAAGGACTCAGAATGAAATTAGTCTACCTTCTAAATAAGTAATATTATCAAATATACCTTCCATCTGAGGGGGGGGAACAAAATAAGGGAATAATAAATGTTATAACTATGTCAGTGACTGAATGAAGGAAGATCTACATACTGTATAACCAAAATTTTATAAAGTCTCATCAACATGAGATCAAGAACAAATAAAATTCTTTGAATAAAAATATAATTACAGTACTCACACTAGAATCAACATTGGCACTGGAGTTTGAGCGTTCAACAACCATCTTCTCCTGTCGTGGTGTAGACCCGCCCGTAGATGAAATGCTTTTCCTCTCTTTTAAAGACATATTACTGCGATCTCTATTGAACAACTTATTCTTGTTGCTGTAAAAATATTAGGTTATTAAATAAAGGTGAAATACTGAAGTGGAAAAGAGCCCACTAAGTAATGAAACCTATGAACCCTTGAACACATCATAATTACTTGACGTGAAAAAAAACTATCATACATTTACATCATCGTTTGTCTAACATAATCCAGACAAGATAAATGCAGGTGGTGAACAATCACTTAATCTAAATACATGTATATCTAAAGGCATAGGATAGTTTACTGTATCTTAAGCCCCATTTACACGGTGCAGCATTTGTTGTAGGGTGGTAAAACACAGCAATAGGCACAGGGGTGAAAAAGCGGGTGTCCACAGTACATGCTCTGCTGTCATCAGGATGGGTTATACCGTCACTGCTCTCTGGGCTCTAGTGATTAGGGGTGCTGTGACGCACAACATTTATCCATCATCGTTGGTTGCCTGATGCCCCTGTTTTTTGCTCCCGTGCTGCATAGATCTGGTGTTGCAGGGACATCACCCACAATTTCATGCACTGGGCAAATGGGGCTTTAAACATCACTTTACATGTGAGTGTCGATGTCAAACATCTTACAAGAGCTCAAACCTATTTTCTAGGATCATGGATGTTTCCACAAATACTTATATCATTATTATTCTATCTCCAACACCCATAAAGACTTCAGAAACAGATTTTTATGGTATCTTACCTCTTATTCTTGTCTTCTCTGGGTGGGGAAGAGGCCAAGCACTGGGGATCAGAGTGTTCTTGGTCTGTCCAGTTCTCCATATGGTCACTGTCTGCTCTTTTGCTACTCTCATCACTTAACCTGTCTGCTCCTACTTTGTCTGCTGGAGTGTAATGTTGTTATTAGCATAAAATTAATATATGTATGATTAAAACAGCAAGTTTTTTCAAGCAAATGTCCATGTGTGATAATAAACCATTGTTAGGGAGAAACACAGTACCCTGTAATTTGAATTCTGATATAAAATATGTGACCTAAACCTGGTATATAATGTATGCAAAAGATACCTTCCTCACTGATTAGAACTACATGTCATGGAAGAACAAGATTCAACTACTGTACAAATGAAAGTATTGTACAGTACATTACAGTACATACTTTCTTCTTTTACACAATATGATCAGGTATGAGTGACATAAGTAGATCCACCTCAAAACAAAATTAGTATATAAATTTAATGTATCACTTATTAATCAGCAAGTACAATACAGTGGTCCCTCGGTTAACGAGCACAATCCATTCTAGAAGGTTGCGCGTTAACCGAAAACTCGTTAACCGAAACCATTGTTTCAATGGGTTTTTGGGTAATTGGTTCCAGCTCACCGAAAATTGCCGAAATTCAACAAAAAAGGTAGAAAAGTACACTTACTTTGAGGTGTGTATGTAGAAGGCTCCTGGATGATGATGATGGGAATTAGAATGGGGGTGGAGAAGGGAGAAGAGAAGGCATTGGGGTGGAAGAGAAGTCACCCCATGGAGCCATTTCGCCAATTCAAGATTATTTTCTTTAAATCAACACTGCACTGCATTATATATTGTCAATATGTAAAATAAATTTCAAAATGACCAATAATTTGCTTGCAAAAACAGAAAAAAGCATTTAATTGAAGAGAGTCTCAAGCAAGATGTTACCTCCACTGAAAAGATACAAAGACTGACGCCTGTATGGCGAGTTGAGAGGCTGGATGGCACGCATAAAACTAGTTTCATTACCTTCAATTATGTTCAATAATTGTTAAAATGAGTACAAAAATTAATATTAAACTTTTAAAATTATTGAATTGTATAAACTTCTTGATATTTGCTAAAATGGTAAGGAATTTAAGCCCTAGAACCGACTACTGTATTGGCGGACTAATACTACAGCTGGTGGACCGCCAAATGCAAGCGAAATCATGTTCAGGTTGGCTAGTAAGAAGCTCGTTAATCGAGGGATTGCTCGTTAACCGAAGTTAAGAATCTTATGGAAGGTAACTCGTTAACCGAAATCTCATTAACCGAGGTGCTCGTTAACCGAGGGACCACTGTAGTATAATCAATGTATGTTCATTTGCTATGTACTGTACAGTCACCCATAAAAGTCCTGCTGCCTCTCCTGCTGTTTCACAATCCCCGAGATTCAGACTCGTGAACCTGAAGCACTAGACACTTGAAGTATTATTCTCTCCATAAATGCTTCAAATTCAAGAGACTGAATATTAGGGTTCGTGGTTCAGAGGGAGAGGTGAGAGGGCTTTTGTGGGTGACTGTATTAATGTAGATCATATCCAACAGTAAGAGCAAGCTGATCATTATAATAACTGTCACAAATGTTTCAAGTTACCCATAAGTATGGAGACGAAACACAAAAATACTTAATATATTTCCCTGACATGTCTGCATTATGAATCATCTACCTCACAAGTGAAGTACAATGTATTACCATCTGGTCATTATAAAAAAAACCTATAAGTATGTATGAAAATTATGATGGTCACCTTAGAAAATATACAGAAGAGGGAAACTAGTACAGTAGTCAGAAGAGGATAAAAAAACAAGAATAGAGTGGCCAAATTAAATGGAGTGTAAAAAGTAGGAGTTGATGTTAGTTCAAAGGACATTAAGAATTAGAGGTGTGGGTTAAGTTGTAATGCAAAAGAAAGTAGGAGTGTGGGTATGTCGGAAGGTCATAAAAAGTAGGTTGTGGGTACATTACGGTGGAAAATAAAGGAGTAGTGTGCATATAAGGCCAAAGGACAGAAAACAGTAGTTGTGTGACTAAGTCAAAATGCAGTTAATAATGCAGATATTTTAGAAGAGCAGACAAAAGCAAAGGCAACACCAAAAGGGAAGAAAAATGGTAGAAGCTGAATAAGTAAAAATGTAGAACATAGTAGATGCATGCAAAGTTGGAAAGGTTGAAACAGATAGAAGTATGAGGACAAGTTAAAAAGAAAGAAGAAAGTACAGTAGGATGTGGGTAAATAATAACCTAGAATAAAGCAGAAATAAGTGTGAGCAATAGAGTACTGTACAGTAAAAAGAATCAGGAAATAATAATAGATGAAGACAATATGCAATTCACAAGAATCCAGCACACTGCAAACTGATCTACAGTGATAAGTGTGTCAAAGTGAAGAACTATCAATGGAAGTGAATAAAATAATGTTGAAGTTTGAGTTCTCTTGGAAAAGATCAGGTTATACTGCACAGGGTTGGTTAGTGATGTGATATACAGTACTGTACTCAAGTTTACACCTGAAATTATATACAGTATGTACAGTATAAGTAATTAAAGATGTTTGTGTATACATTATGATATAAACATCAAATAACTATTAAATAAACTTCTACAATATATAACTATACTCTGTAGGACTAAAATACTACTCTACATATACTGGAGAATAAAACCATATGCAAAATATCACATTCAAATAAAAGTATCTCTACAAAACTGATTTTAAATACATTAGGGAATGTACACAAATGCATTCCAAGGGTCACACCCAAGCATCGTTCCACAACAAAATGTTCCTACCTATATGGCATCCAATACATTAAACACATCTAGGTCATGCACTAATTACTATCAAAGGTTCAGGTCTTAAACTGCTACATTCATCAACATATAAAGACACTTGTGACTACTCAGGGATATCATTAGTATGCCAAGGAGAGCAACGGATGACTTCTTCAAAACACTTCTCTATCTAAGATGGTTGTTCATCCACCATCTCTCCATATTCCTTAATCAACCAACAACATTAAAATTCAAGTGTCAAGACGAACTAAAGAGTGATATTTGTAACATTTCTTGAAAATTTTGTATTGTACAAAAATGGTTGCACAATTCATAAATCAATTTACTTCCACTTAAAACAATGCACTTTTCTCATATTCTATTAATCTTGATAAAATCACACGGAAAAGGGAAACAACGAAAGCTAAGGTGCTCCGTTGTTTCCCTTTTCCCGTGTGATTTTATCAAGATTTATCTTATCCACGTGTTCATTATGGATCTACATGAAATATTCTATTAAGTAAATAATTAACACACAAATAATCTATTTAAGTCTGTTAAAGTACCTTATGCCAACTACAGCATAGTGTAATGAAACCTAACTTCGTATACTTGTGTACTACTACTGAATAAGTCTGGTTTGTTGGGATAATTATTGGTAGGAGTCTTTCAATGTATAAAACTATTTCAAACTATTTTGTTGTAGCTATAATTGCAACAGTCATAATTTTCTTGAAAAGAAAAAGTTAAATTGCACAAATTGGCACTTTAGCATATTTAGTACTGCATAGTACAAAAATACACAACAACAAACACACACACACACACACATCTCAATAGCAGTTTATACTATCCAGGCAGACAAGACCAGGTCATGAAAAAATTGCTACAATTAACACTTTGCATCCATTTTTTTTTTCTGGACCATAGGACAATATGAACCAATGGTTGGCTTGAGACACTAACACACTCACAGTTGGTAAATGTTAGTTACCTTAATAAGAGAGGAAGGATATTATCCAGACACTTGTATCTATCAACCAATCATCCACATGCAATTAATAATTCAACTGAAACAGAAACCTCAAGGTAGGGAGAACACATAAACGTACAGTAATGCAAGAAAAATATATAAATAAAAGCTACCGATGAAATGAGCATGAAAAAAAACCACACACACAAACACATACACACGCTCACACACAGTCAAATCCTCATTGTAAACAAAATATACAAAGTGAATCCTGAATTTCCATATTGATTACAATGCTTCATGTTAATTCACTGTGCACACTAGGTTAGGTTGTTAGGCTCAATCACACTAACATTAATAAAATTTTATGAAAAAATCCACATTACATGAAGCACAATACTTCTTCTAAAACTGTCTAATGTGACACTTCTTGATATCACTAACTCACCTATATAGCCTGTACAGTATTTCTCTTGATGTTCATCTCACTCTCCCATTATCAACATGTACAGTAGTCTTAAATTCTCCATATCATTCTCTCACCTACTATACAGTATACTGTATGCTCATAACACCTTAGTACATTTTAAACCATTCTGCTCACAATGATCTTTTCAGTTCTTTGCAGTCTCTCCATACATCTTTCTTTCTTATGCTATCAATCACTTAAACTCTCAGTATATTTTGTAAGCTGTCCTGACATTTACTTTTTGTAAAATACTGTATAAAGAGACTGTACACAACCTGTCTCCACCCTAGGGAATACAACACTGAAACCATTATTTTTTTTCTAATCAACAAGTACAATGAATATTATTTTTTCTTCAAAATATCATACTGAAATATGAAGGAAATGTACCTTTATTCAATATACCGAAAGATTTGTTCTCTTTTGCCCAGTATTTTGATTTTCAAAAAGGAATTACCCGGTACCCTATCAAATTGATGACTTTTAAGTATAAAAAGTTGACTGCAGAATTGGACAGAAAAGTTTTAATATAGAAATGTGACAAATAACAAGAATGGGGAATAGAACACTGCATTCACTATAAGATTCTCAATAGGAAAGTACAGTAGATAGAAGGACTTTCTGAAAGATAGGAGGCCAAATGCTGAGCAATACAACAATATGAAATTAGTGGCCTGGGATGAGGGGAGGGAGGAATAAACCTAAGATGTTGTAATGCAAGAATGATTTTACTTTTTCTATTTCTATTTTCTTTTCTCTTTTACCTTAGCAGTTAAATTACAGTATATGCACTTAAATGTCTCATTGAGCAGTTGACTGCCTGCTACTGTGCAGCAACAAATGCCATTCTTCCAAATATAAATATTTCTTCTTTGTAAAAAAAAATATTTAAAATGTGTAAATTATATTTATATACAGTACTTTATATTTTAGCTGTCTATCACTTGATGAGGACAGTTACACTACCTCAGAGTTTTATGTCATAACATAAAATGGGAGTGAGAAAGAAAAGTGATACAGAAAATGGGTTATGCAAGCAGATGTACCATAACAAGTCATCAGAGGGTTTACAATTTTACTAGAAGAGTAATGCATTGGTTTTCTTGGAACAATCAAGCGGTAATTAATATTATTCAAAAGCCTAAGTTGATCCATTATTTTGAGCTTATTCTTATTAACATTAATTGAAAACTTTAAAAAAGACTCTTATCCAATTAAAGGTTTGGATAACAAAGACATTAAATCCTTAAAAGTTTCATTACAATACCAAATTCTAACAGCAAAACTAATAAGCTCAATATAAGTAATCAGTCCAAGCAACACACAGCAACATGACCAGCCAAACAGAACAGCCCATGACCACCTTTAACACCACGAGGTCGTAACGCACCTGGTACCTTCAATCGCAGGTAAGTACCCCCTGTGTTAACACAAGAAAATTAGCCTCTTCTGCTTAAATTAAGCAAAATATTATAACATATATAGCCATAGAGCTCTACACTTTCATTCATTTACTAGTTGGAAAGGAAGAACACATCAAGCTAGTAACACCTAATGAAATTTCAGGTTATGAAACAAATATGAGAAAAATCTAAATAGATAGCACAATATAGTTCTTTAAAGATGACTGAGTAAGAGGGGCAGGATCCAACTGTTTAAACTGAAAATACAATATCAAATCTCCATCTTGCTGACCTTCAATATCATAATATGGTGAAGGTTAAGAAATTATACAAAAATACTTATAATTGACTTAAATGGCAAGATACACTTCAACAGAAATAAAAACAGTGAATCAATACCTAAGAGTACATTATTAACAATAATAAAAATAATAGTATATGAGAAAGATCAGTTATAAAAATGAAGATTAAAAAGTATTAACAGTTTGATAATACTAAATGAAAGAAATAACTAGAGCAAAGATGAACATATGGGAACCCTCCATGGCAAACACCACATAAGTGAAGAATTAACCTGCTATACCTATAATCTTAATTGAAAAGCCCAGTTGGAAAGCAAGCTGAATGCAAGAGAAAAAAAGTATTCTTGGTAAAAGAATATCTACATGGTTTTACGATATGCAAATTTGTACAGTCCAGAGATATAATAAGTTATATCTCCGTTAGCCACAATCCCTCAAACCCGCAACTCTCTGATAGCCGGAAAAATATCCCCCATCCCCGGAATTTTCTGGGTACTGGAAAATTGTTCTCAGAATTCAAGGAAAATACGCCTGATTTTCATCTCTCAAACCTGGAAAAGACTCCCCCATCTCCAGAATTTTCCAAGTATGGGGAAAATTTTCTCGTAATTTTCCGGAAAATGTGCCCCTCGGAAAATATTAATTTCGGTTATTGGAGAGTTCTGGGTTTGAGGGATTCCAGCTCACGGAGATATTACTGTATCACTGTACCTGTACTCGTGATATGGTGAATACAAGACAAGTTACAAGGCAATATTCAGAACCTGGCATGGTACAGGGTATTACTGTACATTAACTATAATATTTACGCAGGAGTTCTTTGGACACAGATATCACAGTAACTAAGAGAGAAAAAACAACAAAAACATTTCTATACTGAAAGTGACCAAAAAAGTCTAGCAACACGCAGTTTTTTCCTATGTACTGTACAGTATAACAAAACTCATAACATCATTAATAATTAAGATTTGCTCTGTATATTTTAAAATTATAAAAAGAATAATAAAGTAATAAGTAATCCCACTGAAACTATGAAATCTGGTGTAGTTACAGTTGTCCTATTTGTTTCCTGAGCACTCGGAGCTAATCCCTTGTGTACAGGTTCCTCTCTTGAATAAAAGTGCCTGACATTAGCCAAACACAATATTAGAAGTGGTGTCCCAGTAGTGAAGGGGTTAAGGCATATTACTAATTTAAAGAGAGACCATACGACTACTCAGGTGATTAATTTGGCTTCATTCAAGATACTGTACTGTATATTATTACATGCCTTACAAGTTAATCATAAAAATTAATGTAAAAAAAATTCGTTCTTACTCAATCAGCAGCATATTGCAAGATGAATTAATTAACTCACTGTGACAAACAATGCCTGGTAAGATCCATCATTGATAATATTCTCTATATGTCATAAATGGAGATTAATAAAAATCCTAACTCTAAAGTATGTTTAAGCCCATATCCTATATAACAAACAACTATTTAAATGTAAAAAATTTGGATGTGTTCAACAATTTATATTGCACAATATAATCCCAGACCCATTTTTACCATTATTTCATGACAGTCAAACAAAAATCTCCTATAAAGCAAAATAGTTATTATAAAATAATAAATGAGACACCATTTCATATAAAGATGTACAGTATGACACTGCCTGATCCTGAAAACAGGTGTTGCCAACTCATACCTAAATATAATTAATATATATTTTCAACAAAAAAGATGAAGACATCAACCATTTACTTAAAAATGTACATAGTGTTACCCAATTAGATGACATCTTACAGCTGCAACACCAAACTGCTTAACATGGAAATGGGAAGTGGTGTGAAATGTGATATCACATTTTTAACTGCCAAGTTGAAGTTTATCTCCCATGAATCGACTTTTTCTGTCATAAAAAGGCTCTTTATCTGGAACTGAATCTATATGTACAGTACTGTAATGAACTTATAATACTGAGAAGGTAGTAAAAAGTTTTTTCTATTACATAAAGTGATAAATGCCACAATGACGGAATGTAATGAAAGTCAATTATTACTGGTACAGTACTGTACTGTACCATATTGGCTGAATTACATTGTGCTGTTAGAAAATTAACAGTACTTTACTGTATACAATGTCTACAGTACAATCAACCCTCACTTTACGCGGTCCCACATTCCGCGTTTCCACGTTAACGCGGTGCCCTGCCAGAACCTAATGTGCTCACATTACGCGGTGCGTGAACCCCATTACGCGGAGTGTGTCCGGCGCGACGCTATTTTTAGATTCGCCCCACCTGCCTGCCTGCCTGTGCTCTCGCCTCTCCCTCCTCCTCCCTCCGCTTGGGCAAGCCGCGCGGTAAGGTTGCGCAGTGTGTGTCTTTGTTGCGTTATCACTGACGTCATATGACGTATCGGACTGTGATTGGCCATGCATCCCTACCCCCCTCTGCTGCTAGCTGTAATTGGTTTAAAGTATTATGACGTGTCCACCCGGGGGAAGGAGGGAGGGAGGGAGGAAAGACGATCCTTGACCTAGCCGCGCCAGTTTCATCCCTCCACGCCAGACCGTGTAAACGTGCATCCATTGTTCTCTAAAATGGCTTCCGCCGGACCACCACCCCCAGAGAGAAACCTTTCCTTACCTGGACCCAGCGGCACTAAAGAAGGATGCAGCCAAGATAAAGGAGCACATGAAGATCACAAAGTCTACAGGTGCTTCTATGATCAAGTATTTTCACAACCAGGTGCTTCTCAAGACAGAAAAATTACTTGTGAGGTACTTGGTGCGTCAGGCGCGACGGAACATGGCGGTCGACACGCGCTCTGTTATGGAGTACGCACGTGAACTGTACATTGCAGTGGCACGAAAGATGGGAATTACAGAGCCCAAACCCTTTAATGCTTCCTCTGGGTGGTTACAGAGGTTTAAGATCCGGAACAAGATCACCAATATAAACATTGGTGGTGAAGAAGCGAGTGCTGACTGTGCTGCGGCTAAGGAATTTCCTCCGTTTTTACGTGAGATTATGGAGGAAGGACAGTACAGTGACGACCAGGTGTTTAACATGGACGAATCTGGTCTTTTCTGGAAAAAGCTACCTTCCGAGTCCTTCGTTGTAAAGAATGCCAGCAAGATTCGGGGCCGGAAGATGCAGAAGGAACGCATCACCGTCCTGTTTACCACCAATGCCTCCGGTACCAGTAAGCTCAAGTTATCGGTGATCCACACAGCACGCAAGCCGCACGCCTGCAAAACCATGGACATGACCAAGCTAAATGTCCACTGGCTGACCGCACGTAATACGTGGATGTTCTCTACACTGTCCCTCTCCTGGTTTGATGACTGTTTTGTTCCCGATGTAAAGAAATTCTGTGAGCGACAGAATGTGCCATTCAAGATTTTGTTGCTGCTGGACAACGCACCAGGACACTCGCCCCTACTGTTAGATCGTCACCCCAACGTAAAAGTGGTCTTCCTTCCTCCCAACACTACGTCTATATTACAGCCCATGGACCAAGAGTTAATCTGTAATGTAAAAGCTGCATTCTCTACGAAAAAATTCAAACTCCTGAACGACTACACCAACACCAGGGAAGAGTTGCGTAACCTGAGTGACACCACCACCGATAGCAAGAGCGAAGATGAGGATCAACAGTTGGCACATCAAAAAATACTGTTCAAACAATTCTGGAGAGTATTTAACATCAAGAAAGCTGTGGACTTCTTGGTGGAGTCATGGGATCAGCTGTCTATTGCTACAAATTGTCACGCATGGAGACATGTGTTGCATGGAATACCAGGTGAGAGGAGGAGTCAATCTGTGACTGGTGAGGTTCACACTGTTGCAGTAGCAGTGGACCTTGCCAGAGAAGCTGCGCAGACTGTTACAGTTCCAGGCTTCTCCGAGACCACCAACGACGACATCCTGGAGGTGATAATGGAACCTGATGTGACTACCGACGAGATGGTAGATGATAATGACGACGTCAGTGAAGAGGCAGGTGGTGCGTCATCCCAAGAAGAACAACACTTATCCCATAGTAATGTTAGGGGTGCCATCGAGTGTATCGAGAAAGCCAAGCTCCTCCTTTCCGACGACCCTGACGCAAACAGGTATGAAATCTTCACTACCCAGCTGTTGCAGACTATGGAGCCCTACATCAAGGTGTATCACGACAACATCAACACCAGCCGTCAGCAAAGCATAACAGATTTCTTGGCCCGCAACCCACCACAGCCAGCCCAAGCCAGTGATAGTGACAGTGAAGATGACTTTGAGGGATTTGTCAGGGAAGTCCTGACAACTGTAAGTGACAGTGATGGTGATGCACCTAGTAATGGTGATTCACCTGAGGGCCAGTAGCCTGCCCTCTGCCTCGGAACCAGCCTCCATCCCCGTACGCCGACCCATCTCTTCTACTAACGTAAGTGTTCCACATAACTTTTAGTTTTCCGAACCTAACCTTTATTTTTCCTATGTTAACCTTTATTTTTCCTAACCTAACCTCTTCTATATTACTTGTTTTTTCATACCATCATAAAGTTAAGATAAAATTTTTACTACAACATAGTTGTGTGTCGTCAAAAAGTGGAGTTTGGGGGTCGGCCCGGACTCTATTTCAATTAATCCCATATGTTATGTTATTCACTTTCCACGGGACCCTGCAGGTTACATTAACCGCGTAAAGTGAGGGTTGACTGTATAATGCAACAAACCCAAAAAC